TTGGTATCGTATTTATAAAATTTTTTTTTTTTTTTAATCTGTGTCAAACAAGTTTTCAGCTGCCAGACATCGGTAGTATGCCGCTCTATTTTGAGGATGCTGCAAATGTCATTAAAAGGAATTTTTTTGTTTTTCCGTCTGCTACCTTCAGTGGCGTTTCTTTTGTTATGTCGAACAACAACTTTTTGTAGTTCTTATTAACATACTAGTTGTTGTTATAATGATTATATTTTATTAAGTGTTAATGAACTTTACGAATTATTCGCATTTTTTTCATAATCGCTTGCGGTCACCGTGTTTTACTGAGGTTATGTTGTTGCTACTTAAGTAATTGTGTGGCTATTTGCGTTTCATTTTCGTTGATGCAAAATATTTAGGAAGACCTTGAAGCCCAGCCTGTTTATGCGCGCTCAAGTTTTGACCGAAATTCATTTCCTGTATTTTGCAGATTGAAAGCGTAAAAAAGGAAATAAAACTGAAATAAAAACCGTTGTCGGTTTGTATTATCTGTGTGTGAATACGTATATTAAATTAAACTCTCTTAAGATCTTCAGGGTTGCGGGTTTTAGTAACTAAGTTATGCATTGTACTATGCAATGAGTCTATTTAGGTTTAGGGACAATGGCTTCCAGTTACTAGCAGGAATACGTACAGTGGCGCCCACATAAATAGGACACATTTATTTTTTACAATATTCACAATATGTTACGTGACAAATTTTTTTCGTACATTTTTTATAAAAAAAAATAGTAGATTCTATAAAATAAACCACAAAATTCAAAGTTTGTGCGCAGTTCAGGAAAATTAAAAAAATTATTATTTTTTTTTTTTAAATTTCCAACTTAATTCAGAATTTTTAGAAACTTATTGGGCATGCAGTTTTATAGCCTATTCAATTTCAGTATGAAAATTCTGAGAAATCCCGTACATTTTTGATCGTTTTTTTTTGTTGACGATGTTGTGCACTTTCTTCTTTACGGTATTATTGTATCATGGTTTTGTGTTTTAATAATCGATTATTAATCGATTAATTGTAAAATAATCGTAAAAATATTTTCAATAAATGTGAGTTCTGTAGTTGTCTAAAATCCATCCATCGTACATTCTTTTTTGTTAGCTGCATCAACTTTACTCGACTCGAGGTTCAAAAAAATGTATTTCAAAGATTCGTTAGCATTGGCCTCAGTAATGGAGTTCCTGCGAAATGAAATAATGTACACAGATGATCTTATGGAAAAGGGTAGCGAGTCGTCACTAGAATCAGTAGAAAATGAGTCCGATCTAATGGGCCTCTCATAAATCTCTTGTACACAAACGAAGGCGAAAAGATGATGATTTGGGTCACCTCTAAGATGAAATGAGTTTTCGTTTAAATTTTCAAGTCTTACAACTCAAGCGGAAGGAAATAACTAATGAAGAAAATCGATGGAATCACCGAGCAATTCTACATAGGAATTGGATAGTGGCGTCTGGAGAACAAAAACCAAACTAAAATTTGTGATCCAGTGTTATTGTCGCTAAAAATACTCTAGGCTAATTGACAAGAGAATTCGAAATTTTTTATGCAAGTGTTTTTGTGAATACTCACTGCAAAAAAAGTGCCTTTAAAATTTTGATTAATTTGATTATTTCTCAATAATTGCAATTAATTTTTTTTGCTTGTGATTAATCATATGATTAATTAATCGATTATTTTATTTTATTTTTTGCCATCCCTAGTTGTCAATAAAGAAATTGTTCTTCAAAACTTTACACAAACATCCGCGTAGATATTTCATATGACTCCATCTTTCTGGTAATTCAATATTCGGCAATAGGAAAATCTGAATCAAAAAAGCTAAAATAGGGCAAACGCCCCTTCGAAATTCTGCACTGTCATCTCTATTTCGACTCATTCTTTACCCGATTACGGACCATTTTTAAATTTTCAAATTTCATTCTTTATGTACACCATGATAGCGCGATCCGTTGCCGCCTATAGGGAGCTGGCTTGGTTTTCGACAGCTGCCTTAGCCAGGGTAAGACAATCCTTCACTAAACTCCAACGCCTGATAACTGTATGCATTACGTTCGATCTAAATCTTCTGAGAGTAGTCAATATATTGAAATAAAGAATGCCCTTAACAAATTTAAATAGACATAAGAATATATAACAGTTCAGTATTATATGCGCTTTTGATCATTTTCCTTTTTAAGCTAACCTACCCCTCTATTTTTTAATGAAAATATGTAAGTGCGCGCGCGTATTTTAAACACGTTCGCAGTTTTACGCTTTTCGCCTATGAAATACGGAATATACAAAAGTTTGGGTATATTTTTAATTTTTTTTTTTACACACACAGATCACAAAAGAATAATTCATTATTTGTTCTTTGAGTCGCACTTCCGTAGTTTGTATGCAAAGCCGCTGAGTGCTTATTTTCTGCTGAACGCGTGCGCGATAATCTTTTCGAAGTCTTACGGCAGTTAAACAATGAGAAAATGTACGTACTATACATATTTACATACGAGTACATGTTTGAATAAATGTAAGTGACATAATTTTTAAATTCTCATATGAGTTTTTGTCTTGCGAAATATAGTAGGTTCAAGGACAATTTGTGTGATTTTAGAAAAAGATTTGGTAGTATGAATTTAGAATGAGAAGAAAAAAAACGTGATTATTGCGTGATATTTAGGTACATGTTAGGTGTTGATATGAAAACGTCATTAAGGCGCACCTAACAAATCGGAGGAGCAGCTCGGCCAAACACGCAGAAAAATGTGTAAGCCGCCAATATTTATTTAAATTTTATTGGAGCATGGAATAATTTTTGCAAACAGCGTTTGTTATGTAAACATAATCAGAAGTTCTTTGAAGAAACCATGGAGCGCTAAACTATTACAGACGGTATGTTCGAAGCTCGTTAGAGAATACCCTAATTCACTTTCGGTTGCGTGGCAATATTACTTTTTTCAGATTTGAATGCGTGCCAGGCCATATCGCACGAAACTGTGTGACTGAAGAACTGGCCAAATAATATCGCCAAGAAAAGAGAGAGTAGGAGCTCCATTGATCACTTGTGGACTTCTCGGGGAAAGATTAGCCTTGGGTCAACTCAGCGAACAGTGGGCGGAAAACCCGCGCATGTGCTATCGCGAGGTCATTCTGGTCGAAGGTGGACCGAGGACGGTCCGGGATCCGTTTAGCTTCGCGAAGCCTGATCTCTCAGTTCTGGCGGCTCAGGTATGACAAAGAACCAACGCCCACGGTCTAAGTGAAAAAAAAAACATGGAAAGCCATAAAACGGGTCCAAAGTAATTAATCACTTAACTGATGTCATATTCAAAACATAATTTAAAGATCCAAATAAATGTAAAAAAAAACACATAAACTTCATTTCATTCGTTCAAAAGATGAAGCCAACGAACGTTAGGCCGGGTCATTTGTTTTGAGTCACCTTTTTTTTATAAGAATTAGATTAGTAAACTAACATATCGCGTATGCCTTTCGTTGAGAGCAGGGATGGTGACGGTTCTGATCTTTGTAATAAAAATCAAAAAAATTCAATATTTGATTTCTATTTTTCTGATCAAATTTAACCGCTATTTTATGAGATTAATTTTTTCCAACAATTATAAATAATTTTCTAAAAATAAAACAATTGGTACGAATGTTTTTCCAATCGTCTTCTAACACTTGAGGTGGAAAAGCAGTGCTAGTTCCCTAATCATCCTCCAATGGATAAATAAACTGAATCTTTTCTGGGTAAATAAGGCAGGTGAAAACCCCGGTATTCGAAAATTGGTAAAAATCTGGTTAAAAAACCTCAGCTTAAGCTCCTTAGAAAATAAATATGTATGCACATATTAGGGTGGTCCAAAAATGCATGTGAAAAAGTATAGTCGGATTTTTATGCTCTCACCCCCTAGGATTGTTCTATACCGAAAAAAAGTATACCCTTATTTTTTTATTTTGAAATCAAAAGATAATTAGAGATCGCTCAAAGCCCAAAGTTTTCCATGTATTTTTATATGGTAAAAAACAACTTTTCGTAGTAATGGTATATAATTCTTGAAAATCAATATTTTTCGCTCACGTTAAACCAGCCCGACGTATATGAATGAGATTTTTTAGACAGATCAGTTATGAACTGGATTAACAAAAAGGATATTTTTTTGAAGAGAGTTGAAATCTTTTTTTAAATTAAAAATCAATTACCACCAAATTACCAGTTTAAATAAAATATTATAACATTGTTGGAGTCAAACGAAAGGGATTCTAAAAATATGTATTTCGAAATAACTTTGAAGAAGAGGATTGACACCTGCGCAAAGTGTTGACATCAATTTAATTAACAAGTTAAATTAAATATTTGTAATTGGGTATCAAACAAAAGGTTTAGGAAATTTATTAAAAAATGATTTTTAAGAGGGTTGCCACCTATTTGGTAGTTCAAAATCAACTTAACCAGCTAGTGAAATAAAATATTTTAATGCTGGAATCACACCAACGAAAGTTTGAATAGAACTTAATTTCGAAAACTTTTTTGAAGAGGGTTGCCATCTGTTTGGAAACTCAAGATCAGTTGAAAGCAAGAACGCAAAGTTTAATGAAATATTTTAATATAGCCGTCAAACGAGGGAGGTCTATTTCGGAACTATTTTTGACGAAGGTTGCCACCTGCTTAGAAATGCAAAACCAATTTTACTAAGTTAAATGAAATATTTTGACATTGGTGTCAAATGAGAATTCTTCATTTTTAAACTAATTTCAAAGCTTTATTTTTTAAATATTTTTGAAGGGCTTGTAAGAGTTTCAAAGTCCCAGTTCCATTTGATGAGAGGTTAAATGAAGCATTACAATGTGCGAGCCTAAGGAAAGAAGATAAAGAAAGTTTTTCTCCTGCTGTAACATTTGACTGCATAGCCGCGGCAAAAGCTAGTACTTATATAATTGTAGATGCTCCCTTTTCAAGTTTTTACTGATCTAATACCCTAACTATTTCTTCTAATTTCAGCTGCTAATTTCGAAAAATGCAAACGTGATGAAAATTTCGATAAATGCCTTGTTGATGCTGTGAACGGTGCAATTCTGCTGCTCAAGGATGGTAAAATAACTTCGTAAAATCTTTTGTAAAATAAAGAGAATTAACGTTTAACTATTCACAGGCAACAAAGAGTTCGGTATACCACAGCTCGAGCCACTCACTGTGAAGTCGTTAATAATCGATTCTGGTAATGCGCCTATTACGCTGAAGCAGACCTTGAAAAACTTACTCGTACACGACATGATCTCCACCAGCAAAGTGCAGCGCTACCGGTAAGATCCTTTAATACATATATACATATATGTATTTTAAACTACATAAAAAAACAAATAACAATTAACACTTTCTCTTTTTTCCGCTTTCCAGCACCGATCTGAACAATCACCTAATTGTTTGTGACAGTAAAACCGATCGCATTGAAATGGTTGGCGATTATGAGATGTCCGGCCGCATATTGCTGCTACCCATAACTGGTAATGGCAAAGCCAATATGACGCTGATTAACACCCGCATCGAACATCGGCTCATCGGTGAACCTTTCATGCGCGATGGCGTCAAATATATGCGTCTCAAGGAGTACCGCGTCGATCTGAATCCCAAGCGTGTCTATATGCAATTCGATAATCTCTTCAACGATCGTTTGTTATCGCAGACAATGAATCGATTCTTGAACGACAACTGGGAGACGGTTTTCAATGAGCTGAAGATTGGCTATGCGCGTAGCTTTGGTCAAATTTTCCGTGATATTTCGAATAAGCTGTTTGAGGAGATACCATTCGATTCGATATTTCTGAGTTCTTGAATGCGCGGTGCGTAAAAGAGGGAACTACATGAGAAGTGGGCATAGCCTGAGTATTTTCTTTTAGTATTTAATAAAAATTGTTAAGGCTTATTATTTAGTGTTGTGTACGTAGGACAATATGTATATTAGGGTGATTTTCTTCGAGACAATTTTTTTTTCATTCCCACCTAGACATTGTGGGAAATACCTATAAAAAGTCCTTTTTTTTCTACAGCTCAGTGGTATTTTTTTATGGTATAATTTTGGTCAAGGATAGAGTTTCTTCAGAATTGAATGCTTTACAAAAGTGTCCATTGCGGCGTAATCCTAACCCGCGCCAGCGAGGTAGTACGTACGGGTCACTAAAGTAAAATCTTTTGGTGAAATTCTCGTTTTTTTGCCCCTATCTCATAAATAACTAGAGCTACAGAAAAAATGTAGATAAATAAGAAAGTGGTAGGAAATTCAATTTCGACTTTCCTTGAGATATTGGGAACGAAAAAAATTGTCGCGAAAAAATCACCCTAATGTATGTGAGATGATTGAGTTATTCTGGAATTTATTATTTTTTAGTTTTGTAAATATGTATGTATATGTAAGTTGATTAACTTAGAACTTAGAAATTAAAAATAAATTAATAAAAAATAAAATATTTAGTATCTATATACATATATTACATTTAATAAATTAATAAAAAATAAAATACTTAGTATCTATGTATGCCATGAAGATAGTTACATATTTGGTTTTCCGTTCTCCCAGCCGTCCATGTACCCATTATAGATGGCGTTTTTAAAACGATTAAATCGAGCTCTTCCGATTCGACTTTTTGTCGATTAACTAATTCCAATTCGATCCATGAATCGATCAAAAAGAATCGAGAATTGATTTTAGATTATTTACCTCAATCCATGAAATTGTAAAGAAAATTGATTATGTGACTGGTACAACAAAAAAAAAAAACAATGAAGGGGGCTTAGCACTTCCCACCTTTCCAACTTGAGAGAACCTTCTCTTTCTCCTCCTACTACAGGGCTTCCCGGGGAATGAAGTAAGAGGCAATCTTGAGAGATAGTGTTGTTTTTTGACCGATTTTTTTATTTCGATCTGCAACTCTGGTATCGATGTGGGATACTAATCTGTAGCCATGTTTCCAAAATGGAGCCCCGATGTGTGACTTACGAAAGTGGTAAGTGCGGGGAAAATGGTCATAGTTATAAAGAATGTTAGAATAACTTTGTGAAATGCAGAAATTGTAGCATAGCGAAAGCAAGACTTAATCTGGCGGATATCGACGCAAAACATGATTCAGGGGACAGCTGTTGCCGGGTATTACCGAGAAAGGTAAAATTGCTCTAACGATTTTGATGAAATTTTGAGCACTGATGTTTTGCATTTTCAGGTTATCTGAATAGGCATTATTTCCGAGAAGACTCGTACAAGGTTGCCACCTATTCGAAATTAGTTACAAATTAATTTAAACATCATCATATGGGTATCAAATCAAAGGTATTCTAAAGATCCCTAATTCAAAAATATTTTTAATAGGGTTTCCACCTATTTTGAAATTAATTAATTTGTTGTTTAGAAAAAAGGTAAAATATTACTATTCATGGGTACCAAGAGAAGGTTCTTAAACAATGCTTTCCCCATATAAAAATGGTATCCCTTGAGATAGTAATGTAAGGTTGCCACTTATTTTCGATTCTACACAATTTATCTAAAACATTGCAATATTGAATCAAATGAAAGGTATTGCTGAGGACTTTGGCCAGAAAGTATAAGTTATGGTGAAACAACAGAGCATATACGACTTCGTCTGCTTATCGGAAACACATCTTGCTAAATACATAGAGGATTCACCGAAGTGACAGCGATTCAAAACACACTGGCGGTGTTGTAGTTTACGTGAATAAGTCATGGGAAGTGCTAGCAACAGAAGTGGAAACTAAATCGAGAGTCTTTTGGTGGCTTTCGATAAAATTACGCCGCAATAGCAAATATCTTGAGCTAGTGACACTGTACCGATCCCCCAATAAGGTAACTTCCTTCCCCGGAAAGTGCTTTTTGGAATTTTTTGTTTTAGGATAAGCTAGACTTGCTCTTAGAAACTTAGTGCTATTTTCCATTTTTGTATTTTACAAAATTTGTTTTCGTATGTAAACAAACAACAGCTGTAATTTCAAATTAGTTTTGTTCGTCGAGCGAAAAATGTTTACGAATTTGTACGAGTTATCATGATTTTTGCCCAAATCGCGTTCGTGCAGACCAAAAAATTATCCATCACTCAAAAACTGAGAGCGCAAAGTGACAGTTCTCCTGAGAGAAGTTGCAAACTTTTGCTGGAAAAATTTTAGCCTATGGAGTTCCACCTTAACCCATTTTTCTAGAGTGAAGAACGCTTTCTGGGCTGTTTTCGGCAACGCGGGCTCCCACGGGCTCGTGTGGAACAAACCTAATATGTCCACGTTGCAGGATTCTAACCTGATCAACCGTCCTCATTTGAGGAGGATTGTCCTGTTCAAAAATATTTTCCTTTTCTGTCCTCCTTTTGAGCAAAAATATACTCCTTTTCAAGTTTTATAGCAGTGATGAAATTTAAAAAAAAAAAATCGTTCGGAATATACAGCCCTATTATCGACGTCGATGTCATTTTTTTCTCATCAAAAAATAGCCCTCGTAAGGAACACATTTCCTCAAAAATATTGTGGTCAGCGTAGCTGGAGTTGGACTTACGATGCATATTTTTTGATGCAAAAATTACACTTTTTGATGCAAAAATTGGAGTTTTTTTTGTTCTAAGAGACGCTTAAGAATATTAAATATGTTAATTATGTTGCTGAACGAGGCGTTGCTAAAAAAATATAATCGAACTTTGACGAAAGACGAAGAACAAAACCAATTACTTTTGCAAGTAACACAAGTAATTACAATTAAATAATTTAAAAATAAATAGTTAAAACTTGTTAATATGTGGCGGTCTTTTAAGTACACAACGCATTGTACTATTAACTTGTTTTACTTCTGTTCTGTGAATTGTTAACTTAATCGTTATTTATGTACATACATATGTATTTGTTAAAATAAATAAAAAAAAATGTTTGTGTTTTCAATGTGAAGATTTTGTCTTCCTGGAATGTTAAAAAATTCTGGTCACCTTAAGGATCCTCGAGTGAATTTTCTCTTAAAATTTCCGCGATATAGGTAGCTGCATTTGCATATTTATTCCGTGCTTCCGCAGCCTTCTCTCATATTAACCTATTGGTAGCAGAGTTTCTGAATAATCGAAGAATCCATAAATCGGATTTTTTGTCAATTATGTGTGCCATGGGATGCCATGAGTAGATATAGCTCTATATAAAGCTCTCCGGCAGTACAGACAATTTATCTGTGTTGATCATGAGTTCACTAGGCAATATTGCGAAAATAATTTTGATTCAATGGATTAATTTAATGTAAATGCCGGTGATTCCTGCAGCGATTTCAGGATCTGCAAACAATTTTCTACGTATTTCCATCATTCGTGTTGCTAAAATTCGTTTGGGAACATCCACTGCGTGGTCCTTCTTGACTTTGAAAAGTTCAGAACTGGAACGATGAATCCGCCTGTACACCTACTCGTAGCTAAATGTTAAATAGATTCAAACAGGCGAACTCTGGCATTTAGGGTTGGCACGTCAAAAATCTAAAGTCCCCGGGCTAACTGTCCCCTTTTCTATAAGCAGTTAAAACCATTTGACGATCAAACTACATATCGACGACTGAGTGGAAGATCGACCTATCTCGGACGCCTGTTCGAAAACGCTCTAACTCAGAATTTGATTGAAAATATTCCTATCTTAGAATTTGTTCAAGAGCGCTTTATCTTAGCTGCCGATAATTTGATTTTTTATTGAGATATGACGTTCTTGCACCATTTATGGAAACAGACAAAGTTGTACCGGAAATAACATGACTTCCAAAACTGCCCAAAAGCGGTTACTACTGAAAATTTTTGTACCATGTGGATGCAGATGTATGTGTGTACGTGTGTGTATATGTATGCATGTATTATATTTATGTATACATAAAATCTCTTAAAAATACTATGTACTCACCGGACTTACGAATTTTGGAATACACCGAAGAAGTTATATAACCCCCTACCGTTGCACAGATTTTTATAGATGATGGTAAACGCTTCCATTATCGTTGTGAAATTTTATTTGCACCAAAAAACTTTGTTACAACCACGCACTTTACTTGTATTGATAGCAAAAACAATGAACTAAGCAATTCACTAAACTAAAAGCATGCTTTTTCACTTTTAAATCAATTTTTCATTGAAGCACAAACTTTTAAAAAACGATGCTACGGTTTATTACCGCCACAAAACCTTTCTTCATCAACTGTTCGAATCAGGCAGAATCAGCTGTTCGCGCGAGTATAACACTTTTCTTAAACTCGCCGCAAATATAACACTGGAATGCACTAACGGAAGTATAGGGTGTAAAAGAATTTCCATTTCCAATTTGCTTTTAACCACGTATTCGCACCTTTCGCTGCTGTTGAGCAGTGATCGGACCAAACTACATTGTGTAGATCTGTGCACCTTCCACATCTACCACTCAAGGCCTGAAATCTACCAAACATTCGCGTTTGTTTTATTTTTGCTTGACATAATTTTCTTAATTTTAAGAGAAAAAATTGGCCAACACGAAACACTAAATGGTAACAAAAGAATGATATAATACAAGATTCCACATTCCCGGCGACGATGAAATTCTAAACCAATAGTAAACAAAGCCGAATGGGAGGATAAAATAAACTGTAAAATAGTAAAATTTCTCAGTAATCAATTTTTCGACAGAAAATGCGGTTTGTTGTGTGAAATTGCGAAATATTTGACTTATAAAAAGAATTAATAGCGAAAATGTTAAAAAGGCGATTTTTGTGAAAGTATTAGCAAATTTAAATGCTTCTAAGGTTTCTGAAGCTTCGTTTACTATTACTTGAGAATTGTCAAAATCGGCAAATCCCAATTAACTGTCTCTGGAACGTGCTTCATTTGTTCGCTACTTCGTGATGTGATAAAAAGAAAAGCTGGTAGCACACCGCAAGGTTGCAGAAATCTATTAA